TACGATGTAGAGAACGTCACCATTTTCCTAGTTTAGTGTGCTGTTTTATGAATGTGAAAATAGTGAACAAGCCTAATTAGTATTAGGCTAGCACCAGCGTTGGTATGCCTGTGTTTTTCCCAGGTTTCTCAGAGACCTTTCTTCCATGTTGGTGCAGGAAGTTAGCAACTGAGTTCAGGCAATGCCTTCTTTCCTTGGGCCGAGATGTAAGTAGGGCTGAAGGTGGAGATGATCATAATTATAGTTAACATTTTTGAGCAGGTACTATGTGCTGGGCTCAGTTCAAGACACTTTTCCTGGGTAACTCAATCTCACAGTGTCTTACAAAGTGTCTTACAAAGTACATGTGTTGCTCTCCCCATTATACATATCAATAAATTGAGGCACAGATTAGTTCAGAGTCATTTACCTAGAATTGATACTTGCTGTACTGAGATTATCAAAGGAGAGTGTACTGAGAATACCAAGGAGATAATACTGAGAACCAAAGATGATATTCGTGTGTGTGTGTGTGTGTGTGTGTGTGTGTGTGTCTAATGAGGGGTACTTAACATTTTGGGGTTAGGAAGAAGATGATCAATCAGAGGAAGGACATGTTAGAATTTAACAAGCCAGAAACAGTTCTAATTCAGGATTTCTGCAGGTCCACATTTCTTTACCCCCTGGAATTCAGTGAATTCTGCATTATATTTAGCATCTTAACACAGGTATATTCAAGCTAAGCTGGATCTATCAGGGAAATTAAAGTGACAAAGGAAACATTATCTAATTTTATTCGACTTATAACTTAACTACAAGTGGCCAATTGATTCTACTCGTCCTGGAATTGTCCCAGAGCCTTTGCACTTTCTGGCTAATTGCATTTTCAAAATCGTGTTCGCACATCATTAGCTCAGAAAACCTCTCCCTTTCGTAGTATTTGAAGTCTCCTGTCAAAACAACTGGAGCCTTACCACAATGTGTCATTAGTCTACATTCATGCTGTGTGACCCTCCAGTTTTTAAGGCGGTGAAAACAGGCTTTGAATTTGCCTCTTGCCTCCCTCATTTTAGTGTGGGAGCTCATTTAAGCATTTGTTGCCCAGCTCAAATGCTAAGAAAACTCTTGCCCACAGCTGTTGTATGTATTAGGCTACAGCTGGCCACTTGTGCATACATTCATTTTGGGGAAGCTGCCAGTAGAATGGAAACTGGTGAGTGCCCTGAAAATCTGGCTTCAGAGAATTTGTCCTGGGAGAACGGGATTGAAGAGCCTCTCTGCCCCGTGAATGTTGTTCGTGATCGGAAATCTCTTCAACGGAGTGCTTCTAACATGGAGAGTTTATTTGGAGCTGTTTGCTGGAAATCTCGGCTAGATCATGAACCATGTTTAGAATGATTTCTCTGTCTAGCCAGGATCTTACCATTTCCCTTGATTTCCTCTGCCTTTTTTGATTAAAATTTAGTATTTGACTCTAAGAGGGAACCTATCTTGCAGTTGCTACAAAAACTGCTGAAGCTCCCCTGGGACTATTCTGTAGTGTCAGTCTTCGGTATTTGTCGCTCCTGGGAAGACTGCGGAGGTTTCCAGGTGCTTCTGGGTAGGGGAAGGATCAGGTTTCCAGGTGCTTCTGGGTAGGGGAAGGATCGGGATTCTCAGGTGGGTAGTAGGAGGAGCCCCCCTGAAAGATGACCACTAAGTGAATTTGCAACACAATGAAGGAAAGAAAGAATGGTGTTGAGTAGCACCTCTGGCTGGGTCATCACCATTTCCAGCAACGCTGGAGAATGGACTTCTGGGAATTTGGGACATCCCAAGCTTCATGACTAAATAAGGGCTGGGGCTGGGCAACCTGCATCCGTTTCTCAGTGGGCTGGGTCACATATCAGTGGGGGCATGTGTACCACTGAGCCTGAATAACCACTTAAGGATTCAAGGTGGAGTTGTCTTGGATCACAGATGACAAGAGCATTCCCGGGTAGTGACACGGAGCCGTGTGGTTCCAAAGCATCCAGGCTCAGCTGGGGCCCGCAGGTCTTTTACCTGGAGTAATCACTTCCTTCATTAGTTTAGTGGTTGTCCCCGAGTTGAACACACATAGTCTGGGCCATGGCAGAGCTACAGTGTCAGTTGGCACGAGCAGATGTTCAGGTCTTATACAGAGGTCAGTGTCCATTGAGGCCTTACTCTTAGTTTAAATAGAGACAGATGTGAAGACCTTCTGTAAAGGGATGGATGGTGTTGGGAATATAGTGGAATCTTATGAGACATGCTCTTGAGAGTTGGTCTTTCAGGTCTCTGCCTCTCTTTTCCTTATCCTCTCTTCATCTCCTCCTCCTCCTTTCTTCCACTTGAAGGTTTTAGCTTTTTGCCAGGCAGGTCAAGGCAACTGGATAAACAGTCACTCAGCTTTTGCTGAAAAAAGCTAGAAGAGCCATTGTTGGTAAGAAAAAGGGGAAGGCATGGGATTGGTTGGTTTGTTTTGTTGTTTTGTTTTGTTTTGTTTTGTTTTGAGACAGGGTCTCACTCTGTTGCCCAGGCTGGAGTGCAGTGGGCAGTCTTGGCTCGCTGCAACCCCTGCCTCCTGGACTCAAGCGATCCTCCCGCCTGCCTCAGCCTCCCTAGTAGCTGGGACTACAGGTGCATGCCACCATGTCCGGCTGATTTTTTGTAGTTTTATTAGAGACAGGGTTTTACCTTGTTGTCCAGGCTTGTCTCAAACTCCTGACCTCAGGTGATCCACCTGCTTCAGCCTCCCAAAGTGCTGGGATTATAGGCATGAGCCACCATGCCCTGCTGGGATTGAATATTTAGACAGAATCTGGTCAGGTGCTACCTCCAGCTGAGCCATGAGGTCGCCATATAATAGTGGAAAGTGTACTTGGAAGGATAGGTTTCAACCTCCCATCTGCCACCAGCCAGACTTGTGATTTTCTGAGCTGCAGGCTGTTAATCAGTGAGATGACTTTGCCAAGTCCCTTCCTCTTCTGGAGCTCTGGGAATTACAAGACACCTGGGATCATTTCTCTCCTTTGTACCAAAGTCTCTCTTATGGAATAGTGATGTTACCTGTGTAGCTAAATTTCCCTGTCTTGTAGAGAAGCATTTCACCTCTTTGCATTTTAGAGGAGAGAACTTAATAGCTGATTTTTTTATGCATACCAAACTTTCTTACCAGAAGGACTGAGACATGAAAATAATCCAAAAGTTTGGAAAATTCATGGACTTACCTTCTATAACTCAGTGGTTATCCTGAATAATCAACAATTGTCAAATTTGCTTTTTGTCTTGTATCAAGAAGGAAGCATATGGTCAGTGTCCCTGCCAGGGAGAAATGTGGGTTGATGACAGTGTTTTCCTGTTTGTGTAGAGGATTTTTACCAATTGGCTCTAGGTCTTTCATGACCACCCGTGGACGTTAATAAGCAGGATAGCAGATAGCAAAGCTGTGGGAGCCAGCAGTTACAGGGGTCTGCATCTGAGCTGCATTCGTGGTTTCTTTCTTTCCCTTAAGTCCCTCTAACTCCCGGGGGTCTAAGCTCCATTTATAATGGAGTTGATCCCTAGAAGCTCACCCAGCAATCTCCTGCTGCCATTCTACTCCCACCACCCTCTTTTTTCCATGTCTTGCTATACACCTCTTTTAGTTGCTCACTTAATATTTCTTCATGATGAAGGTGAACTTTGAACAATTCTTAGAACTGACTAAGTGAGGTTCGTGGAGATACAGGCACAGTGTCTGTCTGGGGCCTTGTGTAGGCCAGTATTCGTTTGTGGCATGGCTCGTACTACCCCCATTGCCTCTCAGCAAAGATAGGAGCCCAGAGCATTCATTTGTATTGTAATTCAGAATATCTGGTTAGTTTTTACATGTTTGAACCAGAATTAGCCATTTGTGACACTAACCAGAATTAGCCAAATTGGTGAAACCGCCAAACCGTGTATTACTTTGGCATCTTCTATATTAGACTCAGGCTCTCATTCTCTTCCTTGAAGAACAGTCCGACTCCTTTCTTATGCATAAGACTGTTGAGCTGTTCTGTCCAATACTGCAGTCAGTATCCTTCCTTGATGACTACCATCATTTAGTTATTGTTTATGGAAATGCCTGTAGCACTTTAGAGCAATTAAGATACTGATTTAAAAACAGACCTATCCGTCTCAGAAATGTTCAGCTTCAGAGCAGAAGCAGTTTTGGAAGTTTCCAATGTTTTTAAACTGGGAATTGATACCCCCAGTATCTTGGCAGTTGCCCCGAGCTGTCACATGGCCCTGGGGCAGCAGGTAGCCTGCCCAAGGCTCCTAGCATCCCAGCTTTGAAAGGGCAAGGTAATTGGAGAGCTGGATGGAGCTGTGGGCCCTGCAGACTTATTTAGCACAATGCAGAGTGCAAGGCTGCTTGTTTTCAAGAAGCGAAGCTGATTAGAGGATGAGGATTCTTGCCTGCTCCTGGAACATGGGGCTGTGCCAGGTGAGTGGGTGAGGCGGTGCCCTAGCTATCTTTTAAGTCACCCCATTATAAAAGAGACTCCTAAGCAGGCCTTTTATTTATTTATTTTTAAAGATATCAGCTATAAAGACCTAGTTATTCATTGCCACTCCCTATGTCTGGAACAACTAACTCATCTGCTTGCAGAATTTCCTGGAGTTCAGGGCAAGCTGATGAGGCTGAGGGTGCTGGGTTCTCAGCATGGCAGCTGTAGAATCTCAATCGCGAATTTGCCAATTCGTTAATTATCTTAGAGAAATAATAAGCTCTTTGAAGTGTTCCTTATTTCTTTTATATTTCTTGAACATTCCAAACCGTTTGCTCTCATGGAGGGTGGCTGAAGGTTTCCTGAGCAGCTCTGCTGGGTCTGTGCTGGTCCAGGGTTGAGCAGGACCTGGTCCAGGAGCCGTCGGGAGTGGCCGTACCTTATGCGTCTCCCGGTGCTACAGAGCCCTGGCTGGACCCACAGGAGCTCCCGGGTTCCTTCTCTAGGTGACGCTTGTCTTCTTTGCTCTCCCTTTCTGCTCCCAAGGATATTAATGCAGGCGAGGGCAGTGAGTTTGCAGACAGTGGGATTGAAGGGGCCACCACCGACACGGACCTCCTGTCCAGACGATCCAATGCCACCAACTCCAGCTACTCACCGACCACAGGCCGGGCCTTTGTGGGCAGCGACAGCGGCAGCAGCTCCACCGGGGATGCGGCTCGTCAGGGGGTGTACGAGAACTTCCGGCGGGAGCTGGAGATGAGCACCACCAACAGCGAGAGCCTGGAGGAGGCCGGCTCAGCGCACAGCGATGAGCAGAGCAGCGGCACCCTGAGCTCCCCGGGCCAGTCGGACATCCTGCTGACTGCCGCGCAAGGCACGGTGCGCAAGGCCGGCGCCCTGGCCGTCAAGAACTTCCTGGTGCACAAGAAGAACAAGAAGGTAGAGTCAGCCACCCGGAGGAAGTGGAAGCACTACTGGGTGTCCCTGAAAGGTGAGAGCGGGACGGCCCTAGCTATGTGCCAAATGCACTAACAGATGTGCTCCGTGGTGCACATACTCACGGGATGGGTGGGTTTATTGTTGTTGTTATATAGAATTTGAAAGTTATACTAATTTTAAAAATTTATCATGGTAAGAGCATTTCGCATGAAATCTACTCTCTTAACACATTTTAAAATGTGCAATATGGTATTATCGACTACAAGTCCAATATTGTAAGGCAAATTTCTAGAACCTAGTCATTGGGGCTGGGCATAGTGGCTCACGCCTGTAATCCCAGCACTTTGGGAGGCTGAGGCAGGAGGTTCACTTGAGCCCAGGAGTTCAAGGCCAGCCTGGGCAGCATAGCAAGACACCAGCTCATAATAAACAAACAAACAAACAAACAAACAAATAAATAAGCTAGAACCTATTCATGTGACTTAAGTGAAACTTTATGCCCTCTGAGTAGTAACTCTCCCATCCCCACCCCTGCAAATGATGTTTTATTTTCTTTTTTCACAGTTATGCTAGAGGAGCATCTCATGTCTAGTTTTGGCATATATGCAACTGATTTGATGACAGTTTCAAAGGATGAGTTCCAAAAACAAACAAATCTTTTTGGAATCATTCAGCTTTGCATCTTTCAAAGTGACTATTTTGGAGGGAAATTTATTAGCTTGAATTCTATGAAATTGCTGTTTTTTAAGGTAAAGAATTGGTCGAATAACGTTAATTTCATAGGCTTCAACCTGATATTAATGGAATGTATAGACCATCATGTTTATGAAAAAGTCAGTTACTATTTAATAGTCAAACTTTGTGTTTTTTACTGTGTATATATAGATAACAGACATGTATGTTAGATCACTTTATTTTCTGTTTATATAACCATGCTTGTATTTGTTGGTATTTGTTGTTATTTTGCACATTTTCGTGAATTACATGTACGTATTGTTGCACGTATCTGCGTACGTCCTGGCAGCGTAGAAAATGTAATATATTTGTGAGCTCTATATTTTAAAAAGAAAAACACTTCTCAAACACACAGAGTTTTCATCCCAAGCTAGACTTGAAACAGTGTTAATACATGGCAGGCTAGGTTAGCTATGTCAACAGGATTGATGGAAAGGCACAAGAGGAAGAAGCCTGGGCTTACCAGTATCAAACTAGATCATTTGATACTGGATTTCACAGACTGTGGTTGGTTTGGGAACATGCAATCCTAGAGACGTGGAGCAGCATAGAGCTCTGCTTAGTGAGGTGAACACAAATGCATATGCAGGTGCAGATCAACCCTTGCACGAGTAGGACTTGGGTTAGCCCCATTACTCTTGGTGCCAGCTGTTGCTCAGATGCCTGATGACATAGAAAGGGAGAGTTTTGGTTAGGATATAGGTTTTGCATGTGCCAGAGACCCGCCATGCCATTCCCAATGCCGTAAGCAAGACAGAACTTTATTTCCCTCCCACCTATCAGAAATAGACGATCGAAGGCTTGTGTGATAACTCTTTTCTATGAAGTCACTCAGAGGCCCCGGCTCCTTCTGAAGTTTGGATGCTCAGCTATTCCTAGAGCATTATCTTTTCCTTTTTTTCATTTTGAGACAGGGTCTCACTCTGTCTTCCAGGCTGGAATGCAGTGGCACCGTTATAGCTCACTGCAGCCACAAATTCCTGGGCTCAAGTGATCCTCCTGCTTCAGCCTTCCAAGTAGCTGGGATTACAGGCATGTGCCACCATGTCTGGCTAATGTTTTTATTTTTTGTTGAGACAGGGTCTTGGTATGTTGCCCAGGCTGATCTCCAACTTTAGGCCTCAAGCAATCCTCCTGCTTTGTCCTCGGGTTTACAGGTACATTGGTTCCTGGCCTCCTAGAACATTATCTTTTGATGCTTTTTTGCTGTAGTGGTCTTGCATATGAGACATAGATGTGCATCGTGGTGGAAGCATTTTGGAGAACTGCAGTGTTCTTTCTCATGTGTGACCTGCCTTATCTTAATTTGGAGGTGCTACAGGCTTATGTCTGAGAGGCCTGGATCACACCAGTGGCTCTGCTCTGGGAGAGTGAGAGGAGATGAGGGGAAAGGCTTCTTCTTCTTCCACTTCCTGCTTCTCCCCTACATGGTCACACCACTGGACGCTGCAGCCTCTTATCCTTAGCAGCCCATCTTACTGTTCATTTTATTAATTAGTGCCAAGTTCTTAATAGCTTGATCTGAAGATCACCTGCAGCACAGCCTCTTGAGGATCTTTCTGGGTTGTACCCCACACCTGCTGAATCACAAGATTTGGAGGTGGGCCCTGGATGAGTTTGCTGGGGCTGCCATAGCAAAGCACCACAGCCTGGATGGTGGAAATAACAGAAATGTATCATCTCACAGTCGTGGAGGCTGGAAGTCCAAGATCAAGGTGTTGGCAGGGTCGGTTTCTTCTGAGACTGCTCTCCTTGACTTGGAGATGGCTGTCTTCTTCCAGTATCTTCACATGGTCTTCCCTTTACTTGTCTGTGTTCAAATTCCTTCTTCTTATAAGGGCACCATTTATATTGGATCAGGGCCTACCCATGTGACCTCATATTATCTTAATTACCTCTTTAAAGGCCGTATTTCCAAATATGATCATATTCTGAGCTAACTGGATTTAGGATGTTTGGAGGACGCAATTCAGCCTGCAACAGGCCTTGACTTTGTGATTTAAACAAGCTTCCCAGGGGATTCTCACTCTCCGGTTGAGAGCAGCAGTGTTAGTGGTGTAAAATAAAAATGATTAGTTGGCTTTTTTTACTTTTGACATATCAGAGGGGTTTATTTTGTTTCTGCCATTCCCTCCAAGAGTAAATGATACAGGAAGTCAGGGTGCAGGTGTCCAGGAGCACAGCCCACAGGCTCTTTAGGGAAGGGAGTCTTTACTTTCTTGGTGACGCAGATCTGAGTGACACAACCTGTTGGAATTCAGGCCCAGAACATGAAGCCACTGAGTTCTTTGCTTCATCCTGATGGGTTCCCAGTATTTGTTGACAACCTCAGGGCTTTGTCCTTGCTGCTCAAAAACAAGACTTGCGGTGGACCTTTTCTTAGCAATGCTTGAATATTGGGAAATAAAAAGCAGAACACATTGGAACTGTGGGATAGAGATTTTTTTTCCCCAAAGATTCTTTCCCATTAGGCAAAGTAGTTGATTTTTTTAAAAAAAGATTTCATTTGGAATTAGTCTCTGGAGTGTTTCCATGGGCAACGGAAGAACGTACAGATTATGTTCCAGGGAAGATGAAGGTAAACAGACTTTCATCAGGGGGAATGTGGTTCTCAGATTTGCTGCTTCGTGTTCATCTTAAAATTGGAACAAGTTGATCATTGAGTAAAAGCTGATTTTAGTCACCTTTGGTGGTGCTTTGTTGTGGATGATTCGAAATCAAAGTTGAAAAATTATAAAAAACAATTACCTGATAGGGACCATACAATATTCAGTAGGTGTACATGTTAGGATTTGTGAGTGTCCCCTAATGCATTATGCACAGACTTCTTTCTCTGTTCTTAACCCACGCTAAGGTGTGTTGCTCCTTTTATGTTAAGAATCTACTTTTCATTAGTGTTGAATTAGTCACAAAAACTATTTAGAGCAGGGTTTTTCAACAGTGACACTGTTGACATTTTCTGGATAATTCTTTGTTGTGAGGGCTGTCCTGGGCATTGTAGATGCTTAACAGCTTCCTTAGGTTCTGTCCACTAGATACCAATACCAATAGCACCTTCCCCCAAGTTGTGACATCCAGAAAGGTCACCAGACATTGCCAAGTTTGCCCCACCATGAGACCCTCTGATTTAGAGGAAAACAGTTTCCGCCTCCCAGTTTTGTTATTTCTTTCTGTCTCTAATCTGTGCTAGCCTAAGGCATGGAAATAGGAGGTACAGATGATTCTGCTTTGTGATACAAGTGTTCCTGAAAAGCCTTGAGATTCTCAAAATCTTTGGGATTTGAGAAAAATAGAGTTGGGGCAGGCTACTCCACAGGTATGTATTTAAATTACACCATGCAACTTTTAAACCCCAAACTAAAAAAAATTAGCTTAGTGTGGTGGCTCACTCCTGTAATCTCAGCACTACAGGAGGCTGACGCAGGAGGATCACTTGAGGCCAGGAATTTGAAACCAGCCTCGGTAACATAGTGAGACCTTGTCTTTACAAAAAAAAAAAATATACAGATTAGCCAGGTATGGTGGCATATGCCTGTAGTTCCAGCTACTTGGGAGACTGAGATAAGAGTTCACTTGAGCTCAGGAGTTCAAGGCTGCAGTGAGCTATGACTGTGCCACTGTACCCCAGCCTGGGCAACAGTGGGACCCCATATCTAAAAAAAAAAAAAAAAAAAAAAAAAAAAAGCGAAAAACCCCTGCAGAGCTCCACCCAAATTTTTTAACAAAAAGCAACATAAAACTTTATCTTTTTTTTTTTTTTGGAGACGAAGTCTCACTCTGTCGCCCAGGCTGGAGTACAGTGGCACAATTTTGGCTCACTGCAAGCTCTGCCTCCCGGATTCACGCCATTCTCCTGCCTCAGCCTCCCGAGTAGCTGGGACTACAGGCTCCTGCCACCATGCCCAGCTAATTTTTTTGTATTTTTAGTAGAGATGGGGTTTCACCATGTGAGCCAGGCCAAAACTTTATCTTTCATTTAAATTTTTTTGTGACAGGGTCTTGCTCTGTTGCCCAGGCTGGAGTGCAGTGGCATGATCATGGCTCAGTGCAGCTTCAACCTCCTGGGCTCAAATAATCCTCCCAGCTCAGTCACCTGAGTCACTGGGACCATAGGCATGTCCGGCGAATTTTTTTTTAATTTTTAGTAGAGATGAGGCCTCACTATATTGCCCAGGCTGGTGTTGAACTCCTGGGCTCAAGTATTCCTTCCACCTTGATCTCCCAAAGTGCTGGGTTTATAGGCATAAGCCACTGTGCCTAGAAAACTTTATCTTTCAAAAAAGCGTTAGTATAAGGGTTTACCTTTGAAAAAAGAAGCAACTGTAATTTGAATGGGTAGAAGGAACAGTTGAGACTCCTGAATTATGGAGACAAGGACCACAAGTATGAAATCATGATGCTCAGCAGCACCGTGCAATAAGGACTTGTAAGCAGAGCCTGTGGTCAGACTGTGCCAAGAGAAAAAATGTGAAATGAGTGGGCAGGGCATATCAATATGTTTCATTCATCTGTGTGAAAGGATGTAGAGTTCAACAGCTCTTCTATGGTAATGTGAAATATTATAGGCTAGGAAAAGTTGCCCTTGAACCAGTGTGACCTTTCCATTGATCTGCATCATTCTACACTACTAATCGCATATAAGCAAATTTGCTTTACAGATTCCCATTGTAGCTGAATAGATTGAACTTTCAAGGGTTGTGCAGTTCACAGAAAGTGTGGCACTTGTTTGTGGTAAGGAAGATGGTGAAAATGTACGGATAGCTTATGTTGAAGTTGAGGAAGAGTCATAAAGTTATACCCTGGCTTCCCCTGAAATTGATTTCAGTTAGTTGAGAGTAAGTGTTCAGCTAGTAGTTGCTATTAAAGTGAGCCTCAAGTTTAGGTGATAATGGAGGGAATCTGTGGAAGCCATCTTGCCACAAGTCTATGAAATATTCTGTTGCTACTATCTTGTTAGTTTCACAGTGCAATTATGTATGGACCAGGACTCTGGCTTCTCCCAGGCCTTTGTATGTGTGCCATGGATTTCCTCTTTCAGTAGGAACAAGGGCATGGTTGGCTTCTAGAAAAAAAATGTTTATAGATAAGATGTGAGACCAAAAATGTATCATTGTTTTTCTTATCCTTAACGTACTTAATGCTGGTATTATATATTGTTTTATCCAAGGGCATGGTCTGGAAACTACCATTTCTAGATTCTTCTGGTTGCATATCATGTGAGACATATTTGAATAAGCTTCAGTCAGACGGTAGTGACTTCCAGTCCTCACACAGTGCCAGGCACAGTTCTGGCCTGGAGGACCATGTTTATACTCGCCTCGGGACAGACGAGTCACAAGACCCTATGTCTGTGAATAGACCTGTAATGAATCAATCTAAAACCCAGAGGCAGGGTTTGAGAGAACTTGAGGGCATGCAGGAAGGAATCCCAGGCAGGCTGAGAAGCTACAATTTAAGATCTTTGACCTTCTTTAGTCCCATCCAAGACTTAAGTCCAAGCCTGGCTCCATTCTCTTTACTTCCTGGGTTCCACGTGCTTTAATTTTCAGCCTCTGACAGGGTGCACGTGTTAGATTCCACTATGGGTTTTTTTGTTTCCCAAGCACTAAATACTCATGCACACCCCTGTTCTGTTTCCTCAGGATGCACGCTATTTTTCTACGAGAGCGACGGCAGGTCTGGGATAGACCACAACAGCATCCCCAAACACGCCGTCTGGGTGGAGAACAGCATTGTGCAGGCGGTGCCTGAGCACCCCAAGAAGGACTTTGTCTTCTGCCTCAGCAATTCCCTGGGTGATGCCTTCCTTTTTCAGGTTTGTTGGGCACTCCTTTGCAGGGCATTTCAAACCTCTGAACTGGGTACCTTCTTTTCTTTTTCTTGCCTAGGTACCCAGTCTTCCTCTACTGCTTTTTTTTTTGGTGGTGAGATTAATCTGTTGCTCATTATAAAAACAAAAATGGTGAATGACAAAATAAACATCTATACTAAATTCCAAGAATAGGTACATTCAGAGGTTTTCCAAGTGAAGGCTAAGGAGGGCTATGAGTTGGATGTGAGAAACTTGCTCTGTTTGTCATGAGTTGAAGGATATCTTCGTGTGGTCTCAGTACCATTTCTGTTGCATTTAAGAGAAGGATCATGAATTTCTTCTTTTAGACATGATTTGAGCTGTCAAAAATTTTTACTTATAATATGTTCTTTTCTAATATTAATCATAAAGTAAAATAATGACATCTCAGAAATGACTGGCATCACCTAACAGTTTCTCTTCCTCATCTGATCAAAACTTTCTACTCAGCATCCTTGAATTTCAACTTGTAAAAAAAATATTTCTCTGCTAACTGCTTCAGGATTAACATTTTCTTTGATACGGAATCCTTTGAGTTTGGATAGTTATAATATACTCAGCAAGAACTTTTTTGTGTTGTTATGTAGGAAGGCTTTCTTTATTGATTCCATTCAAGAATTAATTTCTCAAATCTTTATTCTGTGCTTCCTATGTGCCCTGCATAGTGCTACTGAGCACACCAAGAAGATTTTGACAGTTCGTCTTTTTTTTTTTTTTCACCCAGGCTGTAGTGCAGTGGCACAATCTCAGCTCACTGCAATCTCCGCCTCCCAGGTTCAAGCAATTCTCCTGTCTCAGCCTCCTGAGTAGCTGGGACTACAAAACCTGCTGCCATGCCTGGCTAAGTTTTGTATTTTTAGTAGAGATGGGGTTTCACCATATTGGTCAGGCTGGTCTCGAACTTCTGATCCCAGGTGAGCCACCCACCTCAGCCTCCCAAAGTGCTGGGATTACAGGTGTGAGCCACTACGCCCAGCTGACAGTTCATCTTCTTCAAAGTGTTCACATAGAGCAGAGGGGACAGACACAGTAAATCTTCATAATATGGTAAAGCCTAACAATGACTATTAAAGGAAGAGCAGGTATAAATGGCATGACAAGGACAGTAAGAATATAACATGGAAGGAGGGGGCTGGAACAAAGGTATAGAGGAAGGAAATCATTTATTTCACCAAGTTTCTGGCTTTGGCTTCAGAACCTGTTTCTATTTGGACAATTAAAGTAAAATATAAAGTGCTAATTTTGATTATGTAAAGACAAAGCATCTGTGTTTTCTTTTTTAAAAATCTGTGATGTAAAACACAGAAAGAAGAGTGCACACAACATAAGTGTACTGCTCCATGAGCTACCATAAAGTAATTATGCAACCACTAACTAGGACAAGAAATAGAAGTTTCAGGCACCTAAGCCTCTCCCCCAACCCCACCCCACTCACAAACGCAACCTGCTAGTTGAATTGAGTAAATATGTCTTTTATCATCCAAGCCAAGACACTTTTGTTTATCTGGGAATGACTTAATTTCCCCTTCATTTTTGAAGGATAGTTTTGCTGGATATAGAATTCTTAATTGACCATCTTATTTCAGTGCTTTGAAAATGTCATCCTACTGCTTTCTGGCCTTCATGGTTTTTGAAGAAAAATCAGCTCTTTATCCTATGAGGCTCCCTTGCTGATTTGAAGATCGTGACTTTGTCTTTAAACAGTTTGAGTATTATGTGTCTAGGTATATCATTCTCTTTGAGTTTACTTTACCTGGAATTGTCTTTCAGATACATATCTTTTAATATTTTTTTAATTTAAAAAATTGTGAGTACTAGTGGCCACAAAATGTGTATATATTTATGGGGTAGTATCTTTTGGATCTGTAGGTTTCTGTGTATGTGTTTGTGTATTTAAATCACATTTGGAAAGTTTTTAGCTATTATTTCTTCAGATAATCTTCCTGCTTATTTATCTTGCTCCACTCCTTTGGTGACTCATGTTCTGTTTACATTAGTATGCTTGATGAAGTCCCACAAGCCTCTGAGACTCTGTGCATTTTTTTTTCATTCTATTCCTTAATCTCACTTGATCTGTCATAACTGATCTGTCATAAGTTCACTGGTTCTTTTTTCTTCCAACTCAAATCTGTTGTTGAGCTCTTCTGGTTATTTTTATATATATACATTGTATATAGTATATATAATATGCAATATATATTATGTATAATACATACAATATATAATATATATTATATAATACATAATGTACAATATATAGTATATATAAATATACAATATATAAATATATATATATATATAAATACATTTTTTTGTTTTTTGAGATGGAGTCTTGTTAGAGTGCAGTGGCACAATCTCAGCTCACTGCAACCTCTGCCTCCCAGGTTCAAGCAATTCTCCTGCCTCAGCCCCCCAAGTAGCTGGGATTACAGGCATGCACCACCAAACCCGGCTAAGTTTGTATTTTTTTTTTTTTTTTTTTTTTTAGTAGAGGTGGGGTTTCTCAATGTTGGTCAGCCTGGCCTCAAACTCCCAAACTCAGGTGATCCACCTGCCTTGGCCTCCCAAAGTGCTGGGATTACAGGTGTGAGCCACTGCACCTGGCTATTTTTTCTTTTTCTTTCTTTTTCTTTTTATTTTGAGACAGAGTCTTGTTCTGTCCCCCAGGCTGCAGTGCAGTGGTGTGCTGATTTTGGATCTGACTTTTCTGAGACAGTTTCTATTGACTACCAGAATGTCAATAGAAGCAGTCCTCCCATTTTGGTTTCCCAACCCACTTTATTGTTGTTTATTGTTTATTTGCATGTCTCATAAATTGCCAAGTCTCTGCTCTGCTAGTTGAGTAGTCAGCTAATTATTAGAGAGACATTTCCTTAAATGTACAGAAGCAATAAGTTTCCTAGTCTTTCCTAAGAACAGAAGTTTGCACAGTTCAATCATCATCATCACATGCTCAGCGCCGCCTAGGCGTTTCATCTCTGCCCTATAGCCTTCTATTTCTGCTTCTCACCAAGCTGTAGGGTAGAGTGTTATTCATCGATCACAGCCTCACTTGCAACCATACAGATCCTTCCTGGGGCTGAGCCAGTCCTCCCAGGGGGCTCAGCTCCTCTCAAGAAATAGTTGCAGTGCCCTCAGCGTGTGCAACACCACACCCAGCTCACTATATTCTTCTATTTATTTGCTAGAGATGGGTCTCACTTTATTTCCCCGGGAGATAGGTATTAAAACTCCTGCGCTCAAAGTGGAATCTTCTCGCTCTACAAGCACCTCCTAAAGTGCTGGAGATTACACAAGCCATAGAGGGGCCACTGTGCACTGCTGTCCACCTGATTCTTGAAAACCAAACATATTCAGAATTTCCTTTATGAATCATTCATTATCACTCACCAAACTCTCGGCCATGTCCTAATTATTTAGTCTCATTTCTCTTTCCAAATCTCCATCGACATGGTTTTATTTCAAGTTCTTTGGAAACTGATGTTGAAATCGCTTGGCCGTTGAAATCTGTTGGGTCTAGTACTAACATTGCGGACTTTTCTGAGGACAGTTTCTTTGAACTTACTTCTTCTTCTGTGTTATGGGGCCAATACTTATTTAAATATGTATTAATCCTATTTATAGAAAACTTAGAGAGATCATTTAGCTCATACACAAATTAGGTACCCAGCCCTGGATCTGGCAGTCGTACAATCATGAGCCTCACTGTACAACCGTGACTCCTGGCTCAAGCAGTCTTCCCACCTCAGTCTCTTCAAGTAGCTGGGACTACAAGTGTTGCCACACCACATCCTGGGGGCGTAATTTTTAAAAAATATTTGTTTTAAAGACAGAATCGTTGGCTATGTTGGACCGAGTACTTTGGTCTCGAAACTCCGTGCTCGCCCTCAAGAAGCCTCCCATCTTGGTCTACCATCCTCTGGGGCAGATCAGGCATGGAATCACCGAATTCCTGGCCCATACTTTTTGTTGTTCATTGTTTATTTGGCCCATGTCTCATTACTTTTTTGGTTTAAATTGTACGTTTAAATAATATAAATGTGGCAACTGCTGAAACAGATCCACCTCTGCCCATCTCTGGGATTTGCTATTGTTGTTGATTATTGGTGGCTAGATTAGTGCTTCTTTGTGTTTAGTGACTTCTCTTGAGATCTGATAAACATCATATTTGGCTTTGTATGTGGTACCCATCTGACAGTCTCTGCTCAGCTAGTTAGTCAGTCAGTAACCTACTATTAGGGAGATGAGATTTCCTTGAATGGTTACAGAAGCAATAAGTTTCCTAGTCTTTCCTAAGAACAGAAGTTTCCAAGTTCCTGCACATCGTCAATGCTCAGGCAACTAACTTTCCTCTCTGCCTTAGCCTTCATCTCTGCTTTCACCGAGCTGTAGGGTAAGTCAAACGGTGAGCTTAGGAACTTCTTGGGACTATCTGGGCTTGTGGACAGCCTTATACGTATTTGTGACTGTATTAGTCAATTCTCACGCCCCTAATAAAGACATACCCGAGACTGGGTAATTTATAAGGAAAAGAGGCTTAATGGACTCACAGTTCCACATGGCTGGGGAGGCCTCACAATCATGGCAGAAGGCAAAGGAGGAGCAAAGTCCTCTTACGTGGCAGCAGACGAGAGAGTGTATGCAGGGGAACTCCCCTTTATAAAACCATCAGATTTCCTGAGACTTACTATCATGAGAACAGCATGGAAAGACCTGCACCCATGATTTAATTACCTCCCACTGGGTCCCTTCCACGACACGTGGGAATTATGGTAGCTACAATTGAAGATGAGATTTGGGTGGAGACACAGCCAAACCATATCAGTGACCTTACAGATTATAAGAACTGTGTCATAGCTTTTCAGAGCCTTTTGTGGAAATTGTATTCCCCAGCTTTTCCTCAAGTTTCTTGGTCAACTTCTCATTTGCTCGACTGTTACCACTGCTTCAGGTGACTGCAGTGT